AAAAAGAATAACAGTTATACAAAATAGTTACTTAAAAATTTTAATTCAAATGACTAAATTAATTAGTGACATACTGGAGGAAAAACATAAAACAAAAAATAGTTACAATATACAGGATCTGCCAAAATAGATATTGGCTGAAAAGTTGAATACAAGAGCGATTACACTAAATCATAATTCTGATTCAAAAACAGTTACACCCATTAAAATCCAAAAATAGTTTTTTTCCCATTCAACCGANAGTTGAATACAAGAGCGATTACACTAAATCATAATTCTGATTCAAAAACAGTTACACCCATTAAAATCCAAAAATAGTTTTTAAGGGTAAGTTGGCTTGTTATTTGTTATATTTTGTTAGAAACGAAGTATTTGACTTGATAAAATAAATTAATTAAAAAACAGTGACATAGTAACCTTTTTTCGAAAACATTTATTAATGTCTATACCGAAAAACAAAGGTACACCTATTAAAAAGCAGTTACATCCATTAAATACAAGCCTCCTATATCAACACAAGAGTGTTCAATTCTGAGTAATGCAAATAAGCCAGTAATATATAACCAGTTGCGAAGCAACCAATTGTTAAACAAATGGTATTTAAAATGGAAACCACGAATCTTGAAATGTAGAGATATTGATTTTTCTTTGGATAATGCTCTTTGATTAATGACAGTGACAACAGAAATAAACCCTTGACCCAACCCTGCACTTCAGATTTCTTACATGGCTCAAAATGCATTGATGGCTCTAAAGGAAGGGAAACCACCACCAAAGAATACAAACATCGAGCAAACATAAAACAAAATCGAACATAGGAATTTTTCAAATCAGTGACCGAATAAAAGAAGAAATATATTTATTATGTCTATACGAAAAAAATAATTACACCCATTAAAACCAAATCTATTTTTTTTCCCTTCATTCCAACAACGAACAAATATAATACAAAATCGAACATAGGAATTTCCCAAAAAAAATGACAAAATAAAAGAAGAAATATAATTATTAATAACTTACCTTTAAGCCGATAATGGTGATTGGTATTTACAGTTCCTTTTTTCGAATAAATCCACCACTGGAGAAGTAAATTGATTGTTGAATAAGACTCTTACTGTCAAGATCAGTTGAACACAGACATTTGAAGACTCTAAATGCAGCGATCAGTTTTTTTTTTTTTTTTTTAACAATCTGCATAAACGGTTGAAGAAGTTTTGTGTGTAACTTCATAGACTTTTTGACCTACTGGATAGATCACTTTAACACAGACATTTACTGCATATATTCTACAAAAATTGCTCATTCAAAATTCAAAAATTAAAGATACTAAATATGTAATCTTTACATATTTGTTTCTTAAAATAACTATCAATAATGACTGCATAAATTAAGGAATGGTGTTTTAGTAAAAAAAATTTTAATTCATTTGAATTTTGTACCTAAACACAAAAATTTTTATAAAAATTGTACTTAATACAAAAAATAACTTATCCATACACTTTTGCCTAAATAAGTCTAAACAAATTGTACGCACGCCTAAGAAACCCCCTCTTTTAAACTCAGGCCGTCTTCTTAGCTTGGGCTTGGTAGTTGGTAGTTGAAGGTGTTGTCTGGCCCGCTATTGACCCATATCATCCCTTCCCTAGACGAACTTAAAAGAGCTGTGAAACAAATCCCCCATAGACCATACTATACCATACCATACCATACAAGAGAGAGAGAGAGAGGGGTTCGGCTCCTTTGCAGTTGGGGAGTTACCGCATGTTATGCGGTTTATTAAAACGGCACCGTTTTACTGTTCTTTTTGCTTTTTTTTTTTTATTTCCCCTTACCAAATCTGAAACGCCTTCTTCTTCGTTAGACTTCAACAACAAATCCTTGCATGGTGCAGCAAATCTGGGCAACTACAGGCAGCTCCGACTACAAGCAACGTATGTTCCTTCGTTCTCTCTGTGTTAAGAATTTTCATTTAGATGGGTCAAATCAAATTCAATTGTTCTTTCATTCTTGCTGTCTTCTTTTTTTTTTTTTTTGGACAAAACCTTTCATTGGCATTGAAATTTGATGTTGAAATTGGCTCCCTCTTGCTCTTTCAAGCAAATCTCTCACACACACCTCCCTACCCTCCACCTGTTTGAGAAAATGCCAGAAAGAAAGAATTTACCACAAAGCACCATTGAACCTTGTGAATTCAAACAATCAAAGCAGTTACATTGTTATAGAATCTTAGAAAGGATTTTCAAGTCAGCAGTTTAACTTTATGATATCCCCTATTTGCAGCACAAGGCATAAACATAGGAAGTTAAAATTAAGAAAATAACTTTATACATGAGGCCCCTTGGATGCAAACGCATATATGATTGTTTTGATGGTTCTCTTAATCTCCACTTTCTCATGAATGCAAATGAGTAAAACAACATATTTGATCTCCATACCAGCTTAATGAGATGGAGCTAATTAATGGCAATTTTGTACTGATCATGCATAATCTAATTTCTTGACAAGCCTGTTTGTTGAATCAATGAACAAGTTCATCTGGCCATTTTCTTCAACAGTGTGTGTGTCTTGGATATTCAAAAGGTCATTCATATGAACTCCATGTATTTCATTAAGGGATAAATAGTCTCAAAAATGCTGCGTGCCTTGTATTGCTTTTATTCCAAGCAGAAAATAGCTTTTGCTACGCATTGAAACTTACTTCTCATTTTTCTTCAAAGGTATCCATGTTGTTACATCCCCATATGGCATATATCTTGTGGCAGTTTACCAACATTGTTTAGGTTTTTGGGCTTGTGATTTGATGATGGTGATTATTGAATACAGGTATTGGAGTTGGCTGGGAATGCAGCAAGGGATAACAAGTAGAATCGCATAGTGCCAAGGCACATTCAGCTTGCGATGAGGAATGATAAAGAGCTTAGCAGGCTTTTGTACAGATTCCATTTTCCAAATTAGTTGCCTTAGGAAATTTGTAATTTGTCTAGGTGAGAAAATGCTATTGTTTAGTGCTAGAGTTTGATTATTATTGTAA